TCGTTGCCACTTCCGGCCATCAGAGGCTCGACTTTCACTTCAATTAATCACTTTATTGTCATTTTTTCTCTTCTTTAACGTCTATGTACTTCAAAGTCGGGTTTTGTTCTAAAGTAACAACTTAAAACAAACCGAAAAACCACGTAAAGCTACTTTTAATTAATTGTTTTCGTTAAACATAATAGAACATTATTTTGTTTGGAGTTATTTAGCTCTTGTTTGGTAAAGTTTTTTTTTTTTTGTAACTTATAAGCAAATTAAACTTTATTTTCAAGAATACATTCAGTTGGATTCACAATTTAAAATATGCTTAACGTCTAAAGGGTTGAAGTCGTTTAAAAATGAAATAGTTATTCATTTAAAATATATCTTCATCCAATCCAACCAAAACTCCCATTATCCGTAACAATGTGAGAGACAAACATTTAAAGTATTATAAATGTATGTATCTATATTATAACTATATATATAATCCTCACCCACTTTCCTATATATAAACACCTGCCAAATTCTGACCTTTCAAGTTCAGTTTTTTTTCAAAAGAGAGAGAAAGATGATAAAATTTGGTATGATGGTGGAATTTTTGGAAGAATACAGTTTGGTAATGGCAAGAATGAGAGATCAATTGCATTTTCAGCTTCGGTTTCTGTGGACTCTTCGTTCTGCTTCAACTTCATCCTCCTTCTCAGATTCTCCTTCTTCATTTCTTGTCTATTTTTAATACAGATTCGTTTCATAAACATATGATGTTTGATCATGCTTAAAAACAGCTTCTTCTTCTTTTTTTCTTCGTGTAGAAAATTCGTTTTTCTCAACAATATATACCGCTGAGAAAAGCTACTAAAAAATTGCTTTTAAGCGCGATCAAATTAGAGAAGGTGTTGTTATCTCGTATTCTTTTGTATACATTTTGAAGTTTAATTTTCAGTCATTTGCTTGTATACAACATGTAATTCTTTTTCATTTTCTTGTACAATCAGCTAATGATAAAGGATTGAGATGAATTAATTAATTCAACAATTTGTTTTTTACATATACTATTAGGAAGTGTATTTTACATTTGTTTTAATATGGTATTTATCAAATTTTTGACATGTGGTTTAGTAAGGATTTTATTCTAAGGTATCTTAGATTTCGATATCGACTT